GATCAGGATTCCCGAATGAGAACGGTAATCGTCTTGTTGGGCTCTTATCCGCCGCACGATTTTTTCACAACCATCTTCATGAAGAAAGAACATTGGCGGTGGACATGGGAGTGTCACCCAACGGTACGACTCATGCGGAGATCCACCACATTCTCACCAAGGTGGTGCTTGCTGGACGTGTTAGTGGTACCATCCTTTATTAGTGGCTCAGATCACCTCTTCCTTCGAGCAGAAGCGCGATTCAGCCGAAAGCTGGAAAAGAAGATCTGCCATGCTGGAGGAAGAAGAGGGTATGTGACGGTGTCAGATTGGAGGAACTTCTGACCCTTACGAATTGCCCATCAAGGAGGACCCAACGAAAGACTACGATCCTTGAGAGGACTGAAAGCGAGGGATAGAAGCCCAAATTTTCGTACTTTCTACAGCACTACTATTATATGCTTGTAGATGAGATACCAGCTCCATCTATGCCGTTCTCAAAACAATGCTAAAAGGTAAGCAAGATGCACAGTGAAATATACCGTTAGCATTGAGCTATTTTAGCTCAATGTATTGTATAGCCTAATGCTAGTATAAGCGAAAGTGAACCACATTTCTACAAGTAGGCAGAGAACGATTTTGAATTGTAACGAAGATTGTCATACTCGGAAAATTTGCATAGTACTGTATCAAATAAATCAATTAGTTGGCGGCAAGACAATACGGCACCATTTCTTGTTAAAAATGAAGAAAGAGTCTTGATAAAAACATGCATCTTATCAAAGAGATGTCTGCCAAAGAGCAAATTACACTTTCATAGCAAAAATCCCATTTAATTGGTCACACAAGCAGACTTTTTGGTGAACACCAAACGACGAAACTATTCGTCGTTGATATCGCTTTTTTTCAACAAACACATAATAAAGCTGGGAATGACGTATACTCTTGCGAGTCATTTCGCAGATGCTCCAGGCATTCAATATGAGGAATAAGAATCTGTCATGCCTAAATAGCGTGAATGCTTAGTCTGGTATGTCATATTTTTGGCCAAAAGACGCAAAGTAGATTCTAACTGTGTATTTCGGCCAACTACACCAAATTTGTGTTTAATCTTGTAAGCTTTGGAAGCCCTTTAGAAAAGCCTGCATTAAATCGTTTGTGCCGCACTAGAGGTCGAACATGTATTTATAGGTTTGTTTTCTCTCTGAGTACGTTTGCTAATCATAACAAACTGTCTGTTGTCGGATTTCGGTACAAAATGCATGAAATTTGTAACTGACAACAAGTTTCTATAACAACCGTGTCTATTTGTTGAAAGAAAACAGTATGGCATGAAAGACGATACTATATTTCATATCTTAGTTAATCAACTTTTCAACAAAAAAATAGCAAATACAATACATAATGCAGAAGTCTTAGGGAATGATAATGATCAGACGTCGTTTTCCATGTACATTTTCCTCCTATCTCGCAAATAATCACGGATTTCGCCCCTCAACTTTGGATTGCATTTGACGTAGATTAAAATACGAATTGCTGAGGAAACCATGTAGCAAATGCTGACGGTGTCGGACAGAGCTGAATAATTGTTTTGTAGCTAAACAAATGCAAATAAGCAGTCAATATGAGTGTGTTGAATGTGCGTGTATATGTTTCCTGTAAATAGACCCAAGCCAGAACAGTCGA